TACGGCCCAAGCATCTTCTTGGACCGTGAACACCTCTAGACTTGTGTTCTTGACATATTTTCTTGGTGTTTAAATGTAATACTAGCTTAGAATCACTCGAGGATGGAAGCACTTTCTATTAGAAGGCTTGATTTGAGCTAAAAGGCCAAGAACACTTAGTGTGTGTTCTTGGTGTTTTGGAAAATCTAAACACAAATCGGAAATGAATGGATGAATAGATGCACAAACACTAGATTAAGTGTTTTACTAACTTGAAATGGTTAGAACACTTACAAGATTGAAGATTTGGAATTAAATCTTGGATGATACTTGAGAGAGTTTTTGGAGTTTACTCTTTTGACTATTTGGGGAGTAAACACAATGACTAGTTTTTGGGGAGTAAACTCATACATATGTATGAGTTCACTGTTTTTGGGTGAATTCTAAACCCAAAACATAAAAGTTTGGTTGGGTGTATCTAATACGCGAAGTGTTTGCAGTTTTCAAAAATCAAAACCCGAGACAACACTTTCTTTCACCCGTTCGTTTAAAAATAATATTAAAATAATCAAACAAACTTTATATTTCTTAAAAATAAGAAATAATGAGATTAATCTACGATACGAAGTGGTTGACTTTTAGGATTTGACCAAATGGAAATTTCGAGTTGTCATAGGTTGTATTGGGCCCATACTACTGAAGGCATAGGATCCATACTTGAATCAAGGAGAGTCGTGGAGAGTCTAGGAAGCTTATGTGTTGAGGATTCTTGGGTATGTTTTGATCATTTGCATGTATGCTTTTCAGAATGGTGATAAACACACGTGGAGGAGGTTCAGGTTCTGGTTAAGTCTCAGGTACATGTTTTGTGCCAATTAATGAGCGGATGCGGGAGTTTATCTCGTTGGAGATGACCCGCAGTATTTTGGAGCAGACTCCTGTGATCTTCAGATCAATCAAGGAGGGGATTATGGAGATTATGGATGAGTGTCTGGGCGCATTCCGCACTGAGATTATGGTGATTGTAGGGGCTCACACTCTTTCCTTCCGTGAGTTTTACGCTTATGGAGCTCCTGAGTTCTTCGGGGAGAAGGACCCTATTGCTATTAGGAGGTGGTTAGCGGACATTGGAAATGCTTTTCGAAAGAGTTTCTGCCCTGAGGGGTCGAAGGTCATATTTTCTTCCTGTCTTCTAAAAGACAGAGCTTGAGATTGGTTAAAGGAGGCAGACTTCACTTTGGGAAGTGAAGCCCTAGAGATGATGACTTGAGATGAGTTTGTGAACCGGTTTAGGGTCGAGTTTGCACTAGCTATTGAGGTGCAACAGTTGGCAAGGGAGTTTCAAGACCTTCTGCAGAAAACTAAGATTGTAGCAGAGATCACTGCCATGTTCTAGGAGAGGGCTCTGTTGGTTCTACAATATGTAGAGGACGACGAGATGAATAAGGTAAGGTATCATGATATGATGAGGGATGACATCAGGAAGTTTATGAGTATGTTAGGTTGAAAGATCATGAATGATATGATTTCTAGAGCCCAGGAATGAGATATTAATTTGGAGCAACTAGGGATGAGGAAGCCAGAGAAGGTGCAAGTAGTTGAAGGTCCTACGAAGAGGCCCAATACTACAAACCAACGATTGAGGGGTGTTTGGTGGTCAAACCAACAAATAATGGGATAAAATAATAACAATAAAATACAAATCACTGCTGCTACTTACAATAAAGATAGTATAGAGTAAGCAGCATCGGTCCACAAGAATACAAGACTTTTTATTTTGCCAAATTTTCACACATTATACAATCAATGTTAAAGTGGGGGTTATGTTTGAATTCAAATTAAACTTTATAAACAAAACAAGATTAGTAATAAAACTCAATAAAAGAAATAAATTTCCGATTCTGATTCCTTTACGTATGTTGTGTTGTAAAGTGTAGTATGACTGTGATTCATGTTCAATCTAGGTTGGTAATTTAGATATTAATAAAATCTAATATCCATATTGACAAAAGTGTTTTATTCAAAACATGTTCTTCAAATAAAACTTCATTTAATTGATATAGTTCGAATAAGCTCTTACATTAAATCATTAAATGACATTAAGTTCTTGCAACAACTACCAACAATGTCCAACATTCCTCATAAGTTCGGGAATATGACCATCTAATATTTGATTACACTAATTTTGATCTATTTACAACCAACAAGTGCATGTTACTAATATCAAATCATAAAACATATACGATATTCACAATTTGATTAACTAGATTGATAAGAACCCTAATTCATTGATCAAGTGAAAAAGAGAACCAATCAAACAAATAATTAAGATCAAATCAAAGATTAATAGATGATAAACATAAAGTCAAGTGCAAATTACAACCTAACAACAAACACTCACGGATCCAGAATAAAAAATGATAGAGAAATCAACCACACATGTCTAAGTTAACCTACAAATTCAACAAGTTTAATCTTCAAACTAACTTACAAAAAGAAAATTAAAGTGTTTCCAAGATGCTAGATTATGATATGATCTCCCAAAATCGCCCCATTTTTGTTCAAAGTCGAAGTTATGTCTTTTTGTGTCATGAATCGTAGAAAAATCAAAAGTTAGAGATTGAAATTCCAATCAGATCACATTACACGGCCCGTGTAACGTATGTCTTGTCGTTACATGGCCGTGTAATGATCCTGATGTGCTGAAAAGCTTCCAAAACATGGTCGTGTAATGTATTCCTTGCCAAAGCGTGGGGCATGTAATGAACTATAAAATAGTCAATATTCGATTTTCTTCATTTCTTCAATTTAGTTCCGAAAGTTCCGAAATTTCACCGAGAGCTTCCCTCGACTATCCTAAGCACGCTCCAATCTTCAAATCACCTTGAAACATCCACATAAAATGGTGAAATGTCGATAGATCCTCGATTGTGTCCCAAAATCCAAAATCTATGAAAATTATACCAAAAATGCAATGCAATGCTATAAATAAACATGAAATTAACCTATGAAAAGGTGCAATTTATGCACCTAACAAATCTCCCCAAGCTTGAACCTTTTCTTGTCCTTAAGAAAACAAAAGAATCAACCTTGGAAAGATTGAATGCAAATGCAAATGCAAATGTAAATACAAACATAAAAATAAAAAGAAAGAATGTCTCAAGTTATTTATCCCGACACTATAATCATGATTAAAGAGTTGTCACCCTATACCCCCAAACACATACGAATGTACTACATTCCAAATAAGGACAGTAAAAGGCTTGGAACACAAAGATTTGCCAACCACTTGGTTTAATTGCATAGAACCATAGTATAAGGCATCTCCTAGTAACTTTTATTGACAAGGCAGGTGCATCTCAATCTATAGGGCGTGCTCACTAAAGCACTCAACTCGTGTATGCACTCATTTCATAGGATGTGTGAACTCACTCCTATCAAAGAATCTACACTCATTATTTAAGGTGGAGGGCACTCGAGCGTCGGTAAGGCATATCTCATTCTTCTTAGTCTTCTTTCTCTCCATGCTCTTCAACAGCTTGCGGTTGCACAATCTTCATATCTTCTTCCAAAATCCGTGTCAACTCTCGGCAAGCCATAATAAGAGATAAATTCATGACCATATCAAGAGTGCAAAAGAAATATATACAAAAACAAATATACAAAATAAGCAAAATAGAACCGTAAAACATGATTGTTGAATATGTACAAAGACCCAACTTTACAAAATAAACTTTCAATTTTTTTGGAAATTCGTTTATCAACAATCATGTTTTACGGTTCATTGCTAGCAAACCAACAAAATCATTCATAAACGAATTTCCTGTGAAAATATCATCATGATAAATTTGGAAAGTCTTGGTTCGATTTTTTTTTTTTTTTTACTTTTTTTACTAGAAAGCAACATGAATATGTACAAAGATCCAACTTAACTACTACAAAAAGAAATGAAAAACAAACATCAACTAAAATCTTTATTTTTTTTTAAATTTTTTTAAAACTTGAACACAAAAGTTGATAAATTGACTTTTGAAGAACTCTTTATAAATGGAAAACATTTGTAGAGGTTTTACTTTGAAATCCACCATTTTGATGAGTTTTTTTTTTTTTTTTTTTTTTTTTTTTTTTTTTTTTTGACTTTGGGAAACATTTAAAAATAACAATAAACTAATAAAGGTTACAACTAGAAAGCTAAAATGAAAATAATAAACAACTTTAACAACTATCCTTTGGAAAAATTGATTTGACCTTAAAATGCATAAAGGCAATCTTGAAAAAGCTGCAAATCCTTCTTTTTTCATTGTTTTTTTGAACCAATCTTTTTGAACCAAACAAAGATCATGTATAATCCAACAAAATTCCAATTAATCTAAATTAAATACTACAAAACAAAGTAAAAACAAAACAAACATATATACAAACGATTAACAAAATAAACTAAAAATGAAACTATAAAATCAAATGAACTTTTAAGCCTCCTTATGCCTTACCGATTCACATAATAATGTACTCACGGGTATTTTAAAAACACCCTACATTTTATTATCACCTGCTGTGACCAGATTATTTAAGAGGAGTTGTTTGTCATAAAACACCTCAATGCACCACTACTAAGTGAATTAGTAAATAAGTGTGTTCTCAATAGTTCTAAAGCTTCACAAATTAGTGACACCACATGTCTAAGGGTTATAAGCAGACAACACTTTGAACTTGACCCTGTATTTTGACAAAAAAAAATTAAAGGCATTCTAAATATGAGAAGAAAGAGAAGAGAAAAATGCATGAAATAATCCTAAAAACCTAAATGAAAAAGAAAAATCTTTTTGTATTTTTATGTTTTGTAATTTTTTATTTTTTTTTATTACATTTTTAAGCATTGAATGAATATGCAAAAAAAATTATTTATTTTTTATTTTTAAATTTTTTTTATTTTTTATTTTTTTATATGTAATGCATTATCACCCTTCCCCAAGCTTAAAAATATACATCGTCATTGATGATTGGGAAGAGAACAAGACATATTATTGAGGAGGATCTTGACGTGGGAATGGCAGAGGATATTGATGTGGAAATTGTGGATTGTACGGTGGAGGATATTGTGGATATTGAGGGTAATACGGTGGTTGTGTGGGTTGACCACCTAAATAGAGTACACTATGCATGTCGGTCACAAGGGGATCCACATGTTGGTTGCGTGCTTGTTGATTATCTCTAAAGGTATAAAACTCTTCTCTAAACTCCACCATCTCATTATTTATCCCATAAAGACTATCATAAACTTCAGAATAATCATGATGCAAATGCATATTGTCTTCATGCAACCAACAAAATTCTTGCATATACATGTCATGATAGGGGTGCATGAAAGGCTCTTGTTGCACTGGAGTAGCAGTATCAAGTATGGTTGAATTAGTAATGGGTTCATCCTCCTCATAATCAGGGTCAGGCTCGGACATCAGGACACCAAATTTGGACCTAAGGCGCCACATAGTTTTGTGTATGGGATTGGACAATCAAAGAAGTTGAGCATTTTGATGATCAATACTGAGATAATCATGGCTATCAACAACCCAATAAACAACGCTTTTCTCATAATCTAGATGGAACAAATGCATATTTTGGAAGATGTTTGTTGTGAGGTGAGTTTCTCCTTCAATGACATCGAGACCGAGTGGAAAGCGAATGGAAAGAGATGGGTGTTTGAGGATAGGTGTGATCATACCCCCACAAATTAATTTACCAATGGTGTTGCGGGATATTTTCAACAATTTGAAAATAATCCATAATTCAAAATCAGGAAGTTAAGTTGGGTTGTGGATCATACACCACATAAGCTCTAATTCTTTTTGGTTAGCCTTGCATATCTCTTTTTGTGGAAATACAATAGAGGCAAGGATGCGATGAGTGGCCTTAAGAATAGGATGAATGATACTTGATGCTTTGGCAACACTTGGAAAATAATTCAATCCTAAAATTCTCAACCAAAAAGCTTTAGCATCCTCTTGAAATGGAAAATTAAATATGTGAAATGGGCTATAAGTGTTAGCAATTGGAGCACCAATGAGTTCACATAATTGATTTTTATGCAACTTATAATTACGGCTAAAAGCACGGAAAGAGAGATACTCAGTTTGATGATTGAAGGAAACAGATGACAGAAATTCAATAGTAGGTTAGACATAACCAACATCGTGCAATGACAACAACCCTTCCCATCCAAAATATCTAAACAAAACACAGACTTGGTCATGTATATAGAGGGACTCAAGAGTGGGCATGTCCATAAATTTCTGTGTTGCGCACCTATGACCAAGGAAATTATGATACCTAGCTTCTTGTTGATATTCTAAGAATGCTAATTCACCGGAATTTTGGTGTGGAGGGTGTGGGTCACGTTGACTAACACTAGTGTCAACGACTCTAGAATGCTTGGAATTACCCTTTTTACCACCCCCACGAGATGATGAAGCCATGAGAGAAACGAAATTTAGGCACAAAAATTTAACTCTTAAGCACAATGTACAACCACTTCAAACGACTAACACACAATTAACACTCAATTTGACAGTTTAAGCACAAAGATTGAAGCTTTTATGACTAACAATGCAAATTCAATGAATTGAAAAGAGAATACCCTATTTAGAGCTTGAAACACGAAATTGGTGCTTGAAATCACTTGTAATGTCTTCCATAATACTTCCCCAAGCTTATTCTTCAAGCAATTTAAAGAAATTAAAACAAAAAATTCCGGACACCAATTTCTAGGGTTCTTCCAAATATTCGAAAATCACCATTAAAATGGTGCTTTGAAGCTTCTTGAGTGTAAGGAAGAAGAAAGGAGAGTGAAAAACCATACCTTGATTGTTTAAATCCATGGAAAATCGAAGATTTAAGGTGCTTATGTGTGTTTTCAATGAAAGGGGACAAGAGAAAAGAGGGTTCGAATGGAATGAATGAGTTGCGAATGTAACACCCACATTTGTGGAACGCATAGATATTTTTCTTATTTTTGCACTCGCTCACTTCCAATCCTCATAAAAATTATTTTTAGAATCCTCTAATTATTCTAACAACCTTGTAACTCAAAAACTTGAAAGAAAATGTCCATACGAAAATGGCCAAAATAACCCCCGAGTTGCCTATCGGGTAGCTACCCTTGTTTAAAGTCAGTAGCTCGATATGGACCCCAATTATTTGTAAATCTTGGTACATCAGATCCGTTACTTCCTCCACTTCCTCGTTTTTTACTTCAAACCCTTCATAATAAGGTTTTAAACGATGACCATTCACCTTAAAGATCTTCCCAATTTTCTCACTTGTGATTTCTATTGCACCATGCTCAAAAACATTAGTGACAACAAATGGTCCCACCAAACGGGACCTTAATTTACAAAGAATTAATTTAAAACTAGAGTGGTAAAGTAATACCTTTTAACCTTTTTCAAATACCTTGTGTGAAATCATCTTGTCATGGTATGATTTCGTCTTTTCCGTGTGAAGAACTTCATTCTCAAATGATTCATTGTGGATCTCCTCAATCTCTTGTATGTCAAGCTTCCTCTTTTTTCCCGATTCATTTAAATCCATATTGAATTGCTTAACTTTCCAATAGGCTCTATGCTCCAACTCAACGAGTAATCGACATGGTTTTCCAAAAACAATGCGGTATGGAAACATCGCAATTGGAGTTTTGAATGCAGTGCAGTACGCCCACACAACATCATCAAGACTAGTACTCCAATCTTTCCTTGTTGTATTGACAATTTTCTACAAAATACCCTTGATTTGTCGATTGTTCACTTCGGCTTGTGCGTTTGTTTGTGGATGGTATGCTTTGGAAACTTTATGAGTAACACCATACTTCTTCAAGACACTTCCAAGCATACGATTTCAAAAATGTGAACCATGATCACTGATTAAGACTTTTGGAACACCAAATATAGAAAAGATATTACCCTTCAAAAAATCTATCACAATTTTTGAATCGTTGGTATGAGTGGCTTTTGCTTCCACCCACTTGGAAACATAAACCACAACCAAAAGAATGTAAGCAAAACCCGAAGATTATGGGAAAGGTCCCATGAAATCAATGGCCCAAACATCGAAAATTTTCACAAACTAAAATGGGATTAAGGGGCATTTTATCCTTTGAACTTAAAGAACCCATCTTTTGACATTTATCACAGCTTGCATAAAAAACATAAGAGCCATGGAAAATACTTGGCCAGTAAAATCCACTCTCTAATACTTTTCTTGTTGTTCTTTGAGGACCAAAATGTCCTACACAAGCATAAGAGTGACAAAATGTTAGGATAGAAGATACCTCATGTTGTTCCACACATCATCTAATCATTTGATCAGCACAATATTTCCACAAATATGGCTCATCCCATACTTACCTCTTGGCTTCTTTCTTGATTTTTTCTTTTTTTCATCGATTCAAATCTGGTGGAAATTGATATGTGACGATGTAGTTCACAATATCGGCATACCATGGGGAAACTTTTGCTGAAAATAGATTCTCATCTAGAAATGCATCATGAATGGGAGTTGAGTCATCGGGAGAAACAATCCTGCTAAGATGATTAGCTACAAGGTTTGAATTTCCACTCTTATCCTTGATTTTAATAGCGAACTCTTGTAAGAGTAATACCCATTGAATGAGTCTAGGCTTAGAATCCTTCTTTGAAAGTAGGTACATAATAGTTGCATGATCAAAATAAACATTCACTTTAGAACCTAACAAATATTGACGAAGTTTCTCTAAAGCAAAGACAACAGATAGCAATTCTTTCTCAATTGTCGAGTAATTGGCCTGCACACTATAAAGTGTTTTTGAAGCATAATAAATGACATGAGGAACTTAGTCTTTTCTTTGACCCAACACTGCACCAACCACATGATTGCTAGCACCACACATGATTTCAAAAGGCAAACTCCAATCCGATGATTAAAGTATTGGTGCTGAGATTAACAACTCCTTCAACTGATAAAAAAACATGCTTCAACTCCTTAGAAAATTCGAATTCTGCATCTTTTTGTAGGAGCTCACACATGAGACGAGATATCTTGGAAAAATCTTTGATTAATCTTCTATAAAAACCTACATGACCAAGAAACGAGTGTACCTCACGAACACAAGTGGGGTAAGGTAAAGATTTAATGACATCTATTTTTTCTTTGTCTACCTTTAAACCCTTAGAAGACACAATATGAGCCAGTATGAGACCTTTGTCAACCATAAAATTGCACTTTTCATAATTCAAAACAAGGTTGGTCTCAGTACGTCTTTGCAAAATATTTATCAAATTACCCAAATATTCATGAAAAGCATTACCATAAACAGTGAAATCATCCATAAACACTTCAATGATTTCCTCAACATACTTTGAAAAAAATACTTACCCTGCACTTTTGAAAAGTGGCAGGAGCATTGCAAAAGTATTAAAGGCATTCGCCTATACGAAAATGTTCCGAAGGGACATGTGAAAGTGGTTTTTTCTTGATACTTGGGTGCAACGGGTATTTGGTGAAAACCGGAATACCCATCCAAACAACAATAGTGTGTTTTCCCCACTAACCTTTCCAGCATTTGATCAATGAAGAGAAGTGGGAAATGGTCTTTCCGGGTTGAGGAATTGAGTCTTCTATAATCTATGCAAACTCTCTATCCGTTTTGCACATGAGTGGGGACTAATTCACCTTGATCATTCTTTGTAACGGTAATACTTGTCTTCTTTGGTACAACTTAGATCGGGTTTACCCACTTGCTATCTGATATAGGATAGATCATCCCTGCATTCAACAACTTCTGAATCTATTTTTTCATAACCTTCATCATTGGAGGATTCAAGCTACTTTGAGCTTCTCATAAAGGCTTGTAGTCTTCTTCCATAAGGATCTTATGCATGCAAAGTGAAGGACTTAGCCCTTTGATATCGGCTATAGTCCACCCAATAGCTTTCTTATACTCCTTCAAAGTGGTGACAAGATCTTCTTCTTCTTTTGTTTTTAACTTTGTGGAAATGATCACAGGTAAAGTATCTTTCTCTCCAAGATACACATACTTAAGATGCTCGGGTAAAGTCTTGAGTTCCAATTTCAGTGCATGCACAATATAATGAACAAGTTTCTCATTATGCATCGATAATCTCAGCTTTGGTACACCAAACCTCATTTTGTTCTTTTGATCCCTGCAAGATACTATTGGGTTTTGAGCATTCTAACACTCATATGGTGTACATGCAACCCTAAATACCTTGGATCTATATTTTCTCTATTATACATGCATATATCAATTTTCCAAGGTATTACCTTAACTAGCATACAATCATATGTACTAGGATAACAAAACTAGATAAAATACATACCTCTTGATGTAGCTTGACTCCATGAATCTTGAGAGCCTAGTACCCCAAGTGTGACACCTCAAATGGTTCACACAACATCATGAACACTTGGAATAACCATGAGAAGAAAACAATCATGC